GCTCGAGTGGGGAGAGTTGTGTATATACCTAATTATTAAGCCCGTGAGGCCCTGCTCTGGTCATAATATTTCCAGTACTCGGTATATTTCACCAAATCAGATTCTTTCATTAGCGCCACCACTATACAACAGACAAGCACTCACACACCACAACTATCATTGGAGCGTGCTACACGGTACACGATTGGTTATCAAACACGCAAACGCATATTACTGCGCGAGTATCCGTAGATGACAGTGGTTTCTGGAGTAATTTGGAATAAACCCATCCAAGAGGGCAGCATGCCTCCAACCTGTTAACACTTACACGTAACTCTATTTCACATCAGCCGTCCTTGACCATTCGATCTTTAAAAAACAACACGCTTCTTATTGTCACATCCTCAAATCGATGCCGACCTTACCCAGGCTCTCGTGATGCAACGCCTTCATGCGTCAAATAACACTTACCTTACCACGTCTACCCTAGCCTTAAGGGCGAAGCAGTCAGCACAACCACGGCTATCCACAAGACATTCTGCGGGTATCTGAACTGACACATTTGCTGCAGGACAATATTGCACAACAGATAAGACCAAAAACAAAAAAACTTGATCGCGACCATAATTCGACACGAGCCGTAAGTGCATAAGTAAACAAGGTACCCCTACCCGCTGCTTTGTACGTCAGGAGGGGAGCGACACGCAACCGCAACGTCTACTCATTGCCTAAGTTAACAAATACAAACACACTGAAGCGCTCGAGTGCTTCTGGAGGTCATTACTTCCAGTCCAGCATGGTTTGTAAACTAAGTAGATTACCACTGCGCCTCGTCCAACGAACCAATACCTTCACATAATCGCTCGCCTGTGCTCGGACTGCAACAACCCTGCTCACCTCCATTGAGCCCTTATTTTCGCTCGATAGAACACACCCTCTGTCACCGTCTTTAGAAGATCACTAAAGTCGGCGTAATCATCAGGCCATGCAGGGTCACTGAACACATGGCGCTCCCACCAGGCACGAGTACACCATCTTGTATACACACCAACACTTAGTATCACAGATTCAACGGCCAGTACAAAAACGACCACCATAGAAAAGCACAGAAACTTGGATTCTTCCTTGCGACCACGCAGTAATCAGGTTCCACCCTGCGTCATCGTAGAGATTTCTATTAACCGAACCACCTCACTGTCTGATACCAGTCAGTTCTCTCAAGTTAAGCATCTCTTATGGTCTCTGTGTTTGGGTCTTCTTTTTTCCTTTTCCCTTCCTTTCCCCTCCTGGTCAAGATTGAGCATGCCAATCGCGTCACTGCCATAACTAACCTGCCAGGTGGTATCTCTCAACCCCTATAGCATTCGCGAATCTCCTCAAGTTTCTACCAAAAGAACAAAAAAAAAATGCCGTATCAGGCTCTTACTTACACACAGTGGTACACGTCAAATCGGTCACGTTTCGCTCTAGCCTAGCGCATTCGGTTGCCATCAAGTGTGCGCAGCTAGCTGTTTCGTGCTTCTTAATACTTTCTTTGCGTTCCTTAACCTCCCCTCTCTTCCTGCATCACTGTGTCTCTACACCTATCTCTGCGTCACTCGAAGGGACGCGCGGAGAACTTCACAGACGACGGTCTCAACGTAACCGGCATTTGGTTTGATGGAACATTCTTGCTCACAAAACCCACCACTTCTTATAATTATCCGCCTGAATCTTACTGACTGCGGGCACCGATTATGACAGAATCCGAAAATTAGCCATCTCTTTCGTGTTACGAGTATATCTTTCTTTTGCGTTGCCCACACTCGTAAAGAACGGGTGCCCCGTGATGCTGTGTTGGAAGCCCATCTGTTTTACGGCCCCTATCCATTTCAGTTCTGTCATTAATCCTCTGCTTCCTCGAGGTCAGTAAATTCAGGCAATAATTATAAAAGTGTGGGGATTTGGTGACAAGAATTTCCACAAGTCCTAAAGCTTCTTTACTAGACCTCGTCTTAACTTCTCCCCCTCCCCTCAGTGACAGATATGTAGAGGACACAGATGCAGAAGAGGAGGTAAAACAAAAAGAATATTAAAAGCACAAACAGTAGCTGCCACACTGATGCAACCATGCGTAGCTAGAAATACATTACTGTACCACTTGCTGTATAAATATACTGCATTTTTTTTTTTTTTTAAACTTAGAGATCCAATGCTATAGTGAAATACACCTGAATATTATGCATACCCATTATGCTCAATTGACCAGAGGGAAAGAAGGGAAAAAAAAAAAAACCCAAAACAAACCATAAGATTTAACTGAGAAATACTGACAGAAGTAGTGGTTGGTTAAATAAATCCTAATGACGAGTAATATTACTGCTGTCGCAAGAAAATCCAGTTTCTGTCTTTTCAGTTTTACTGGCTTGAATTAAAATATACAAGATCCTTACGTGGTGGGAACATTTTATGACCCTCATGCCGATATTACCCACTTTAGATCTTCTAAAATACAAGGGTTGTTTAAAAAATAAGGCTCAAGGATCGACAGTTTTCATCCGACAGCAGCATTATGTAATATTTTCTTGAGAATTAATCTACTAGTGTACAAACATCTGGACTAAGAATACCTCAAACACTCGACCTTATTGTTTTATTTTTTAATTACAATATAAATTGCTTCTTCCTCCCTCCTGCACTACAAAGCCTAGGTACCTGTTACTTAGCATTTAAATTATAGTCATCAAGTTTTTTTTTTTTTGTCTTATGTTGTGCAATATTTCCTCACAAAGTTATTCAATACCCAAATTCTTGATATGTTCTACTCTTCTTAGCAGTAACTGTAATAATTATTGAATGAAGGCTGCATACAGAGCCTGTAATCCATATTTAGAGATTACAATAAGCTTTTTTTTTTTAAAATCAATTCAAAACGCTGATAAAATAATTACTGTATGTTAACAGTTGAGGCATTCCCTCTTATTTTATTGCAATATCAAACCACTTCATCTACATACCCGCGCAGTAAATGCTTTCTGTTATACCAATCTGTACTGTACAGATCATGAAGTTGTGGTTTGAGTCTTTTTTTTTTTGTAAATCCTGAAAAATACCACAGGCCTCACCTAAATATTAAACCCCACCACCACTACTCAGTGTATTTGTAGTGTTGAAGATGGGTCATCAATGCCTTTGCATGTACATTAATGCCTTTACATGTAGAAGCATAAAAAGGCAACAGAAAAATGGCTGTATATGGTCCATGTCTCATTGGCTCAAATATTATCCTCAGCTAATGACAATTTTAATAAAATCAAGGTTCATACTGGATTCTTAAAAATGGAGAATAATGTTTAAATGCAGTCAGTAGAAGCAGATATGTGTCAATCTCCAACTCTTGCAGAAAAAAAAAGAAAAGAAAAAAAAAAGCACAGTGAACAAAGGGATGATTGTTTTTCATAAAAACTACCAAAAACACTAAAAGGCCTCCTGTTAGCTCCTGGAGGTCATGCTGGACTGGCTCCCGGACCCCCAACTGGACTGAACCGGTTTAAAACTGAGTGACACTGCATCATGACAGCTCAGCACTCCTGCTAATATTTCTTAATGTTCTTTATAACCCTCAACACTAAATTCAGCACCTTTTTGATGACCGTACTCTCATTCTGCTCGTGTGTTTCACATGGGAACACCCACCAAATTCAAATTTGGACCCAAAATCTGAGATTAAGAAATCATCCCTATGACATGGACCAGGTGTAAACACATTACAGCCTGCTTCCCAAAGTGTGGTGCATAACCATCCATGTCATTGGTTTGCTCTGCCCAGCAGTCACAGCACTGTGGAATGGACTACTGGATTAAATCCTATCCATCTATCAGCACGTGCATTTGACTGGAGTCTAGGTCTTTATCTATCTGTTGAGTGTTTGGTTATAAGTCCTCGCCTGGAAGAAGGAAGGAGGAGGAGACGATATAATCACAGTGAGGAAATCAATGTACAATACATGTACATGCAAAAACAGCAGTGTTTGTGCAGTGCCTTGCAGGGGAGCTGTCACAAACTCAAATGTCTTATACCTTGAAAAGAAATTACCGACTGTGAACATGTGACCTCTTCCTCCTTCCTTGTCATCTGCTCTCCTCTCCTGGTCCTGCTCTCCTCCCTTACTGCCAACACAATCCCTTTAAACTCCTTCTCTGCTGTCTGCCATGCACACCCCTAGAAATCCATGTCATATATATGTATGTTGGCTTGTGTGCTGATCAGTAACAACGTAACTGGAGGTGTTGTACAGCAAGTGCCACCAAGTGATCATGTGTGTTCCAACACAACACAGGAGCCCCTGTGTGTGTGTATGTGTGTATGTGTGTGCATGCTTGTGTTTGTGTGTGTTTGTGTGAGAGAAAGTGTGCATGACCACCCATACTGTTGACACTGTTATTATAAATATGTGTACATTTTCTAAATGTACTCACCTACGCTAAGGTTAAGATGTTGATAGTGTCACAACATACTAGCCTGCATAGTATGTAGCATGAAGTATGTGATGTTTTCTTAGTGTGTACTCGGTACTATGCTAATGTGGACACAGTGGGACACGCAGCAGGATGGGTAATGGTCAGTAAGTGCTCTGCTCATAGCGACATAGCACTCACATGGAGACGTAACGGCAGGGACGATGGACTGACTACTGCCGGACAGACAGCTACGCGCTGGAAGACGACTGAGATAAAACTGAAAAATTAAACAAAACGGGTAAAAAAAAAATAAGAAAAAAAGGATGAAGAGGAAGGAAGAACAAAGTAGGAAAAAACAGAAACAGGTAAAGTAATTCAGGTGTAATGTGGTATAAAGAAAAGAGTATTAAAAAAATTAAATAACCTGAAAAAAAATAAAAACCCTAATTATGTTAAAACCCTGTGCTGATATCTACTCGTTAGAAAATTTGGCAGCATAAGTCAACAAGTCTTTGTAGTGACTGATGAAGATGATAATGAGGAATAAGTGCCCGATATTTTCCAGCCAACTGAGCAGCAGCAGGAAGGACCACACACACCAGCACAACACAGAAACAGGAGCAACTGACACCCGTGATTGGTCAAGAGTCCTTCTGGAGTTCCAATGACAGACGGAGCAACAGAAAGTAAGGAAATAAAATAAAAAAGAAACCATACAAAATAAGGTAATGACTGGTTGGCAAATGAACAGAGAAAAAAAAATAAAAGCAGCTTTTGGAGAAAAAAAAAAAAATGTTAGAGAATGTCGCATAATAACAATAACAATAATAGTAAAGTGGCTGTTGCACTTTAGTTTTGTTCTTGCAGACAGGTGCCGAGTTCCCGTGGTTACCAGTGGGAGCCCGTGTAAGATTTGAGCAGTTGCATACGATGGTGGACTCCAGATCTGCTGGGAAAGAAGAGCAGAGGTACACATTGGTGATTGATTTAAGACTGCCACAGACCTCTGAGGGAGAGAAATGTGAGGCAGCGCAGTTTGTTCAAGTCGAAGAGAAAACAGAAGAACAAAAAAAGAAATGAAAAAAAAAAAGGGGGAGAGGAGGTGGTGGTGGGGTTCTGGAGGAAACAGATGGAGGAGAGAAAATTGGGGTGGTGGGGAACATCTCAAAAAAAAGAGGAAGAAAGCAAACAACAGGAGGGCAGACACTCACATGATGAGCGGGCTCTACCAGTGAGGCGGTACGTAGCTGTACCCAGGTGTCCCTTGGGGCCTGTAGGTTGGCACAGTAACTGGGTGTCCTCCAATCTGGGGGTGCTGGGGCGTTGTCAGCAGGGTCCCTACAGGAAGTTAACAACACAATTAATGAGCTTTAGCAATTTGTGAATCCATCTGCTGAACAGGCTTGGTTTGTCCTTTCTCTGTATTTGTGACCATTGTATATAATGGACTTTAGCATGTAGCATTTTCATACATTATTTCTACAGATTTATACCAACATTTTGGTACATTTCCCCTTTTTGGAGCATTTTAGCAGCTGTGACAATTTACACTTAACTACCTACCATGTACATATACAATTAACCCTGAAGATAGACTAAATAACTGAATGAATCCATTTATACTTGAGCTGTTTATAAGGATTACTTTCATTAATAATTCATCTTATGGTTATTTTTCTCAATTAATCTAATTTTGGTTCACAGAATGTCAACAAATGACAAGTTTAGTTTGGAAACAAACATTTTTTTCCATTTTTGCTTAAACAATTGATTGATTATTAATATTATAAAGAGCCAGTTAAATGTAATTTAATTATAGTCTATTCTTTTATGATATACAGGCCGGACCATGGTCAAGCACATAAACCTATTCATCTAATACAAGTCAAAACAAAAGGGCTGGGGCTCACAGACATTCAGAGAGCAAAGGGAAGTAGAAACATGTCTGTATAGGAGCAAGAAATTCCAGCATAAATAAATGATCACAGCTCACAAGGGAGAAACAGAGAGTCAGCATGTCAAAACTGGAAGAAATAGTAATGAGTGGTTCTGGTCCTACCTGCACTCATGGCCATGGTTGTCCCAGCTACCATCCCCATGGCAGCCATGCCATTGTTGCGAGGAGCAGGTACAGGGACGGGGGCAGGGTAGAGGGCTGTAGAGGGGATGCTGTTAGGCTGCACCACGGTGGTGTGATGGATCACATGTGGCTGAGCCGCATACACTGGCTGGGTATAATACGCTCCCTGTCAGGATGAACACAGGAAAGGGTTGGCGAGGTGTAGTTAGTGTGTGTGTGTGTGTGTGTGTGTGTGTATATATAAAGCTTAGTACAACATGTGTTTATGTTTATTTGAAGGAAGTCTGAGAACATGGTTTAACTACTCATGTTCATTTTCCACTGCAGGAACATGAAAAGTAGACAGTAAACATCCACACTACTTTTCCATCTCCCTTCCTGATTCTGCTCTTTTCAACCCATTTAACCATTAAAAAGATCTACAGCATCAAATTAGAAAAGAACAAAATGATTGCTCTGCTGACATATTGTGCAACTACATCTAAAACAAAGCCACTGCTTTTTAACTGGGTTTTTTTTTGTATAGAATTATATTAATATTGCAACAATACAATAGAAAACAACCCGTCACTTATATTCATAGGATTCCACACTCTTGATTAAACGATGGTTCATTTAATGGCATTTAAACATAACACAGAACTGACAGTGGCTGGTTTTCTAATCTAATTGATTCTTGAAGAGGAAATTCTCTTTCCAGTCATTTCATCCACACACTGAACATAATACAGGGTCTGAATCAAAGCTCCATCCCTGCAGCCCGAAGGGATAAAATGTTATGTAAAGGACAATTCCACCAGAAAGGAGATGTGACCCAAATGCAAAAGTTGTTTTAAAGCAAAGATGACAGACCATTTGCATCTGTAAAATTGCTTTACCTGATTGTGTTCATATGCTGTAAAGTGTAATCAACCACCCAGACAACCTGAGCATATTTACTGCTGTGATTAAGTTAAATGGCATCGCCAACTAAACAGGTGCGACGCAACAAATCTGATCAACATTTTTTAGTAGCAAAGTACAGACTGTGCCTGCGAGGTAATGTCAGTTTTAATTCAATTTACTTACCTGTGCGTATAGGTTCTGCTGAGGGTAGGCACTGCGGATGGGGTACATCGCTGTTGGGTATGGGGTTGGGGTCGGGGTGTAGGGAGGGGGTGCTCCATTTGATTGAGTGGGGGGCACTTTGTATGGGGTGCCTGCTGAAGTATATCCTAAAAAACAGTCAAAAGAAAAGGAGGATTTAGAAAAAGAAATTACAAAAAGGGAAACATGTAGCTGCTAAAAGCTCCACTACCACTTTCTTTGTTTGCTGTTTGGTGCTGGACAAGTAGCATACAAGGTTTGCAGAGCTTTTTCACTGAAAACAGCTCCCGGTTGCATCTGGAATCCGGTGCTGATAAGAGCCGTGAGTGAACGAAAACATTCAAATTGCCTGTAGTCGGTAAAACCAAAACAATTACCTTTAAGATGCTAAAACGCTTTGAAGAGCTGAGGGGTTCGTGACTATAAACAACCTCTCTCATATACAAGTAGTCATTTGATCTATTATTAATACATATTGATTATAGCAGCTCTAAGTTTTTATAAATTATAATCCAAATACTCTAATTCAGGGTCTTAGTAAGGTCTTTACACTGTTAAATATTGTCTTTAGATACAGCCTGTTTAGCTATGTTGGATATGGACCAGTACAAACCAAATTAGTAAAATACACAATTATACCAATTTGTCTCAAAAACACACTTTTACCAACAGTTAATTTCAAGTTTCAGTCGACTGACAGAAGATTTATCTGCAACTTATCTGCTTTAAGTCATTTTTAAAGCAAAGATACCCGACACTTGACTGCTCCGTCTGCTTTTTCTTGTCTTAAATTATAGTAAGTTGAATATTTGGTGGTTTTGGAACATTGCCAGAAAATAAATTAAAAATTTAATGACGTTACCTTGACCTCTGGGATGTATGTTGTGACATGAAATGGCTTGTTTTGACGTTTTCTCATTTTTTTTTTTTTTTAAATCCTTTTATAAAGAAAATATTTGGGAGATGACTCAATAATGAAAACAATCTTTAGCTGCACTCTTATTCAAATGTTTCATTTTATTTTTTACATGTTTTGCATTTCCTACAAAAACCACCAGATGGGGGGCTAGTGCTGTCTTTTAATGGGGCTTGCATCTCAAAACAATACAGCAAAGGGTTTGTGGGTCTAAAAACGCATCATTTAGCCAGTCTTATCATGATCTTTGAAGACTGCTTTCTGCATTGTTTACTGCTGAGGAAAGTATTTGTGAGGTCTATGTATATGCATATACATATAGAGTATATTCAGCCAAGCAACCTACCATCCTCAGTGGCACCTTTTAAAACCTCCACAAATGTTGCAAGTGCACTGTCTATTTAACTGTCACTACACTAAAAAGGTTGAAAAACATGAGATCTCCCGTAGGACAGTGAGGGCATCAGGTTCAGAGCACCGCATTAACGTCTGCTGGTAACTGGGCTCTGCTCTGTGGGGTGCAGTACCTCTGAACCGCCACTCGGAGGAGCCTGAAGGTCAAACATGCTACTAGCTAGTTGCTGCTGCGGAGCTTATGAAAGCGCTTCTCGCACAAGGACAAGGGAACAAAGAGATGCTGGAGCTGCTATGTGTGTCTGAAAGTGTGTGTGTGTGTGTGTGCATACTATTGCACACATTCTTTGCTCTAACATGGATGCAGGGCATTAGAGGACAATGGTGTGTGACAATCACACAAAAGCCCTGCTGATAGAAAACAGTTTGACTATTCAATGGTCTTGAGAAATAATGACATTGACCAAGACATGTTTCTAATCAACCCACAGCTGCCTTGTCTGGAGGTTGATTTTTGTCTAGGACACAAAAAAAAATCTCAAGACTTTAATTTCACCATACATTAAGCACTGAATGAAAGAATTTCAGATTTAAAGAAAGGCTCAATAATCAGGTTCAAGTCTTTTGTTGCAACCAAGCTGGGTTAGCTTTGTCAAAGCATACCTGATATTTTGTTAGACTTCCAAAAGATAAAACCATACTGGGGGAGGGGACGAGAGTAAAGGGGCTTCAAACGCAGCACAAATGAGATCTACAAACCCATCCTGCCTTGGTAAGATACTTAAAATTCAGGGGAATGGGACACAATTCAAGTATCTATCCGTCACCATGTTCAGAACATCTTATCTTTTATCTGCTCATGCTGATTAATAGTTTACAAATGGGTTTTTATTTAGGTGATTATCTACTTAATGGTTTCAGATAATACCAGTTATTCCCATGGATTTTATTGTTCTTTTCATTCTTTTTACCAATTTACCATCCAATCCCTCTGACTGGAACCACCTAAATTTTATTTTTAAAACATCTGATTGATTGCAAATTAATATTACTCCTCATTTTTAGTAAGTTATTTTGATACATTTGCCTTTTTTGTCACCCTATGTCAGTTCATTGGTTTCATGTTTTCTATTTGTTATTTTAATTATTTTGTATAAGCCCCTTTCTCCTTGCACATGGTTTTATAGACTTCTTTGTAAAGATTAAAATGTTTTGTGCCAATAAATAAACAAACCTGCTAATAAAACCTGACTCAGTTGGAGTATAACCTCAAATAATCACAAGATCTGAGATAAGCAATGTACTAGTTAAGAATTTGTTTTGTGCTTTCAAATCTTACATTTTGATGAAACAATCAAAAATCAGTTGTAACTGTGTCTTCCTAATATTATATCTACATCTCCAAATAACAGTATTCATGTCAAAGGACAATGAGCCCGAGTGAGATCGCACTGGACTCTGTCTGGGTTTCTAGGCTGAAAAGTTCCAGACCGTCACACTAAACTATCTATATCTATACAGACACAGCAGATCTGGGAAGCACTGAGACAACTGTTATTCCCATCTGCTATGGGGACCAGACACTGAAGCCCAGCAGAGTACGTATCTGCTGCTATAAGACCACTGGCAGCTGTTACTAGTTTCCCACTCCTTCGCCATCAATGCCCTTTATACTGGGATCCCCGCTTATTGCCTTGAGTTTATTGCAACCTGTGTGGCGCTCTAAAACAACCTTCTAATTGCCCAAAATATGTTAATATGTATAATTTCTCTGAGCAACGTTTGATTCACACCAAAATGTGAATCACAAATAACAACATTTGCTTTAGGTTATGTACGCATAATCGGCACATAAATTCAGTACAGCTCTGTGGAACAGCAGCAGTAATAGATCATCTGACTTGAAATTAAAATTCCATCAGCTGTAATTTATTCAAAACATTAACGGCTATTCCAGCCTTAACCTAAACACGGACTAACTTTCATTTACACAAACGCATTACTCAACTGCTTCTCAGAGTGTGAACTGAATAATCACAATGATTACACATTAAGCAACATATTTCTAAAAGTTATTCAAAATAAATTGGTGGCACATTTATTGGTTGTTCAGTTTTTACTTGCAAACTCACAACCAACGGACTAGGAGTAGTCATCATCAGCTTTGGCCTTTGTAGTTATTGTTACAGCATGATCGATACAAACACATTTAAAAAGAAGAAAAATTACAACTTTTACAAGTAACATTAACTTTATTCATCCAATTAATTTTTAAGACCTGAAGATTGTTGGATTCTAGACATTTTAAGACCCACAGGCACCCTGAAAAAATTTCTCAATGCCAACAATTAAGATGTTTACACAGATGATGGCTGCTTTATTGTTGTCTATTGCGGTTTGGCTCATTAAATGTGATTTCTTTTTAACAGAAGCCACACAACAATGCTCTTGGCTTTTTAGCTCTGCCTGCATGTTTGTTTTTACTTTATTATTATTTTCTTATGTTTTACCCCGTTACAATTCTGCTCTGTATTTTACATGTTTCTATAATAACAAAAAGGGGCAGGCAGATTTACACACATAATTGTAGTTTGACAGTTAAAAACACAATAATCATGTAAAATCAACTGCATATAACCAGTGTGTCTGTGTGACATCCTTTACATAAAACTTCAATGAATCCCCCACACTGTCTGTCATCTTTGTGGTGTGTTTATCGCTGATTTTTTTTCCCTTAAAAAATTACAAACATCCCACTAATTAACTCTCCCAAGATACTACCTTGTCAAATATAAACAAAGTCATCAAATGGTCTGTCTCTGTCTGTGTGTGTGTGTGTGTGTGTGTGTTTTGAGGCTCACCTGGTGGATACCCAGGACTGCCTGTTTGATAGAGGTTGGGTGTATAGGTGGGAGCCGTGGCAGGATACCCTCCTGGATAGCCTGCAGGACATCACAGAGGAGAGAGGAAATATCAGAAACCATAGCTTATAACAAACAGAGAGGACCACAGATACACACAACAAAGACCCCACCCCCACCCCCCACACACACACACACACACAGGTAGGGCAAGTATTTGGTTGGAGCATGATGTGCACAGAGGTGCCATTCTAAAAAAAATGTCGCACCAATAACGACGCATCGGCGAAATGCCGTCTTACATACAGACGAGACACACCTGCCGATATGGTGTGGGAGGAGATAAATTCAGAAACATTAGCAATGCAAGCACACACGTGCAAGGGGGTGCACACGCACACATACTTTTGTGCGTCATCAATTACACATCAAACAAACAAAGCACATTTTGACCCGAGAAAAAGCTTTCGCTGATAAAAAAGGTGTGAGTTTGACAGAGCGAGACGAAGAGGGAGGAAGAGAGGAGAATGCAGGAGAGTTGAGACAGTATGGAAATGAGGAGTGCTGCTCATTGCTTGCTATTATTGGCAGTCGATCTCACAGACTGTTCTGTAGCTTTGAGCCTTTGCTATATCTAGCTTTAACTGCTGTCTGCTGCTGTAGGTGCAGCTACAGTCACATGGACTACGCTGCATGGTAGAATGGTGCAGATATTTAGTAGACCTCTGCCACGGGTTGTGTGATGGTTCATTAATCTGTATTACTTTGAGAATAATATAATTTTATTTTTGATTACCCAAAAAATAGGAAGCCTAACATCTTGGCAAGGGACTAGAGATGAAGAAAGCCTTTTGGCTAANNCATGTGTATTTATTAATTTGCACTGTTCCTTCTACCAATAAACTAAACTACTAAAACCTATATTTATATAAAAATTAAGACTACTTTAATGTGGCTCTTTGTCAACATGCTAAAACCGTATATGGGTACAACAATTCACAAAATCCAAAGCTAAATTTAGTGCGCTATTGTGGGTATTTTCAACACAGCAAAAATAAATCCTGAAAAAATTAATTCAGTTTTAAATTTACAATTTAGGACAAAACTCCATAATAGTGCTGAAACTATTAACTACTGATTAAACGATTAGTCAACAAAGAATTTTATTCATTGATAAATGCTCAGGGTAATATATCCTCTGTTTCCAGCGTCTCTAATTTTTACCACTTTTCTCTGAATCTGAAATTGTACTCTCAATCGGAAATTGAGAGTACAATAGTTAATTGTTATAGATTTCTCAATATAGTATATGATGCACTAATCAGTTGCAGCCTTAAGCATAATAGTTTAGACTTGAGAATGAGCCAGCTGACTCTTTAACAAGGAGTCTGGCTCATTTTGAGTGGTTTCTCAATTGGAAAAAATAACCGAGGTATCATCTGAGCTCAACAGCTGCAGCACTCCATGGTTCAAAGGATTTTGAACAAAATGTCTGGTGACTTGTTCAATTCATCATATGATCCAAAGTGTTGCATTAAATGATACAACACAGCAGATGTTGTTACATCCATATAAAACACAAAGAACTAGTATGATTAACAAGGCGTTTTGAGTTTGATACGCATGTGCTTACTGACAAACAGTATATACCACCTAGCAAACCCATCACTACCTCACAATTTGTCACTGGGAGCTCACTTAGATGAAGCCATGTTGTGTCTGTATTAAATATCTGTTACCCTTTTTTTTTTTTTTTTTTTTTTTTAAATCTCATGACGTTGGACCTGAGTAACATTCAACTCTTTAACTGACAGAGAGGTGCGTGGACGATGTGAGTTGTGCCAGCGTTCAAACACAGAAACTCAGGGTGGTGTAATGTTGCCTGCCAACTTGGAAATGATCCACTGGAAAACAAGCCAGTTCACAAAACAACTAATTTTACAGTATAATGCTACTCAAAATTGAGACTTAAAAGGCTGAAATTTAGGAACAAACTGTATTTAAACAGCCTACTTCTGAAAGTGATTTTATTAATGAATTTGTTGAAATCCAAATGAAAAATCACAATCAACAATGTTGTATGCTCTTCCTTCTCTGTTACATCGTTCCTGGTGATGTCTGCTGCTCACAGTGAGTATAGTAAAGATATATCAGGGCTCATATTCAGAAGAAGTCATATACTAGTCAGATTTGCACATATGAAAATCCGCTTTCATGGAACATTTTTATCTTAGTTTTTGCTCATGGCTCCTCAGACTTTGTCAAATGTTCTAGCTTACATGCAAATGTAAAAACTAAACAAGAGTGAAAGCACATAAGCGCGAGATACACCAGTACACTTACTGCACCAAATATTTTCTAATGAATGTACAAGCTTAGTAGTGAATACATAATCAAAACCTTCATCGTTCCTGCAGTCACCTCTGACCTGTAGTTCAAACTCTGCACTGCCTTTTGGAAAAATAAAACCCTACAGCACATTCAAAGAGATGGAGAGAATGGAAGTGAGTGTGATGAGTGTGGAACATATTAACAAAAGCACAGAGTAGCTGGTAAAATGACATCATGGAGCAGTCACATTATCCCAGCTTCATGCTTCTGCATCAGGTTAAAAAGATCCCCAAAGACCAAAGTGACTGTATTTTGTGGTATATTACAGTATAGCGGAACAAATCTAACCAGCTGACTTGATGTCAAAATTTGGAGCTGCTATTCAAAATGCACACAGGCAAGAGTCTATGCTTCTCTGGCTTTGTCTCAAGTATATCTGGCCACAATGTTTAACCTAATGTTACACAAGAGACTGAGACTAGCTCTTTGTCCGAGATCATGTGCTTGCTGGCTGCTTTTTAAACAGAAGCTTTTATGACCTGTGTTCTTCCATCTTCTCTATGTATGTCATCCACCTGTTCTTCACCTACTGCACTGAAAGCCAGTGTGTGTGTGTTCAATTAAAAGCTCTAAACAATTACATCTTTAGGTTCAGGTTCACTCTGCTTCCTCAGAGGGAGATTAATGTTCTCGCCAAAGTCCAGAAAAGTTGTCCTTAACAACACTGTGTGACTATTATCTCATACCTTCCTTTTCCCTGTATCCAACATCTATCCTGAATCAACTCCCGCTTGCACTGAAAATGTAATATCTTCATATCTAATATCTTCACTTTTTTTTTTACTAGTTTGTATTTTATCACTTTTGTATCGTACACAACTTCTCTGGAAACTACATTGCTGCATAGAGAATCACAATTTCTGATTTTCTGACCGACTTCTGTGAACTCTTCTCTATGGCAGCAACCATATGGTGTTTGTGAGGCATAGTATACAGGCTTTGCTCAAATGCCCACTAAGTATATTTCTTCTTCTGAAACGCATTGTATATACTGTGAAAAAAAGGGCGTAGTCTTCTATGCTAAAATTTCACAACAACAATAAGGATTTAGCATCCTATTTTGTAAGGGCAATTATGGTTTTACAGTCTGATGGTGCAGCACTACTAAGCTATTGTTCTGGTAGAGTTTGATTTCTAAACGTACGTTGTGAAGCACGTGCTGGATTTACCGTTTGTTGATAGTTAATAAATCGGTAAATGTAAATGTGAACAACATGGTGTCAACGGAGTGGAGAAAAGATGGGGCAAATAAGCAAAAGCCACTAAAGCTGGATGCACGACAGGCCAGTCAATCAAACCCTACTGCTCTTTTAATCTTGATATTTTCCAACTAGAAACAAAAAAAAACACCTGAAATTACTTTACTAATTAGAACCTATAGATTAAAAAAAAAAAAAAGGATTGACAATTGAACAATTGCCAATGTAATAGAACTTTTGGGAGCATCAAGAAGTCATTAGCAGAACTGTCTCTCACTGACTCAGCAGTGCTGTTTTCTCACTTGCAGCCATCATTAAAAACATGTTTACAGTGGATGATAAATTTGTACGTCTTACCTGCAAAGGCCATGTTCTTAGGGTGACATGTGTAATGTTGCCTGCCAACTTGAAAATAATCCACTGGAAAACAAGACCCAGTTCACAAAACAACTAATTTTTACAATATAATGCTGTAATGCAAAAAATTGAGACCAACTTAAAAGGCTGAAATTTAGGAAGCCTATTTTTGAAGGTGATTTTGTTAATGATTTTGTTGAAATCCAACTTAAAATCACAATCAACAATGTTGTATGCTAATCCCTCTCTGTTACATCGTTCCTGGTGATGTCTGCTAGTCACAGTGAGTATAGTAAAGATATATCAGGGCTCATATACTAGCAGTCAGATTTGCACATATGACAATCTGCTTTCATGGAACATTTTTATCTTAGTTTTTGTTCACGGCTGGTCAGCTCTGACAACGAACTCGCTGTTCCTGCTACACTGCTGTGGTCAGTCTGTCAATCACTCGGGTCAGTGTCGAGGCCACGCCACCTAAAGTCACTATCCCTTTGCAGCTTTCTGATGCATTTTTTTTTTTTATTTGCTGAGAGGGAAGGAGGTAACAGAATTGAAGGGGGGTAGTTACACTTCAAGTCTGGCAGGAATTAATACCTAAAAAAAACATGCTGCTCCTCAGACTTTGTCAAATGTTCTAGTTTACATGCAAATGTAAAACTAAACAAGAGTGAAAGCATATAACTGTGAGATACACCAGTACACCAAATATTATTAAATATATTATTAATTTGCTAAAAAAAAAAAAAATGTAAACGTGAACAACATGGTGGCAACAAGTGAAGCAAAGATGGGGCAAGTAAGCAAAAACCACTTGAGCTGGATGGACGACAGGACTGTCAATCAAACCCTACTGCTCTTTTAAACTTGAAATTTTTTTCTAGAACCAAAAAAAAAAAACCCCTGAAATTACTTTACTAATAATAACCTATTAATTAAAAAAAGAAGGCGTTTTCTTACCAAACAATTGTCAATGTAATAGAACTTTTGGGAGCATCAAGAAGTTGTTAGCAGAACTGTCTCTCACTGACTCAGCAGTGCTGTTTTCTCACTTGCAGCCATCATTAAAAACATGTTTACAGTGGATGATAAATGTGTACGTCTTACCTGTAAAGGCCATGTTCTTAGGGTTTCCATATGGAGTGCCAGGCTGAACGGGGCTGTAGACTGGATTCATAGCTGAAGATAACCTGTTCTTACTGAGAAAGCGAGAAATAGAAAGTGTGGCAAAGAGGGGGATAAGAGAAGACAGAAGAAAAATGGAAGGGAGAGAGACGTAAGCCATGTAAATTGGAAAGAAACGTTTTACGATTATCAAGCATACGCACACACGCACATTAATCCCAAACTCAGGTTCTTAAGGCGATGTATCCAGCTGAAGCATTTTTCCAGCATGCAAAAGATAAATAAATAAATCACGCCCAGTGAATCTTCACCCTCAAGTAGGCTCAACATAATGTGTTTAAAAACTGCTGCTGGAATAAAAAAAAAAGGAACAAGTACTGACAGGAAAGCACGAGGACACATGGACCCACTGAAAATAATGGGTTGGTTTCCTGTGTGGCATTAAATACAGCTACCTATGTGTTATATTATTTTCACTACTTCGCCAATAAAGGCAGGGCGAGCACTACCCGCCTGGTTTCCACTACAGGACTGAACGGAGGAGTGGTCACAGAAGCTTTAAGGTGCTGGATATGGTTGGTGCGAAGGTGCCCATTAACGCAGCCATTTATACTACATCTCCCGTAAGGAATCTTTCTCCACGGGTCTTTCCACTGTAGACGAGAAATGCTCCTCCATTGTTCCAACTTACCTGATCCTTGAGAACATGGGCATATCGTGTACATGTGTGTGTGAGTGTGCATGCGTGCCCCGTACCTCTTGTGCGTGTCTGGTTGATACATGAAACTGAATTTGTCTGTGGGATGCCCGCTCGCCATTCTTGCTGTATGCAAATGAGGAAGGAGTGGAAGTGGATATGCAAATCTGAAATTAAAACAGCGAGAGGTCATGATTACAACGAACACAGGAGAAGGAAAAAATTAAATTAAAATAAAATAAACAGCAAAAAGCAAGCACCGGTGCAACAGCAAATGGTTAGTGACAGCAGCAGGGGGACAGTGATTTAGACGGCATGTCTGAGTGAGTGTTTGAGGTAACTGCTGTGTCTTTAGCCACCAACAAATGCATTTAATAACTGTGATAAATACTAAACATTGCACGGATGAAAGAATTTAGGCAAATATTGTGAAAAATTGACTGTTTGCATCCGTTGTGCGCACAAACTCTCTTATGCCATCAGTTGTGTATGTGTACTTAAGCTGTTTCTAGCAGTACTGGCAGGTTAAATTGCCTTGTGTACGCAGGGCCTGTGTGATGTGTCCAAGAGAAACTGAGGTGTGAGTGTATATGTATATATACACATATATGTAATGCGTGTACAGAACATCAAATACAAGCAGCAAAGCAAACATTAAGACAGCCAAATGAAAAAGCACAACACACCCAGTGAGCGGGCAAAGTGACGGAAAGCAAAACAATAGGACGGAGGACAAAATATAGTACAAATAGGCCCAATCTCGCACCGTGAGTAAGCATGATCCAGTACACACATGAGCCAAAACCACAAGAGCACTGCACAAACACAGAGCGGAAGAGCTGAGGAATAAATAAAGAGAGGAAAGGTGTGTGTGTGTGTGTGTGTACGTTGTCGTGTGTGAGCATGGGCACTGTTTATTGTGCATTCATGGTGTATCGCGTGTGTGATTCTTATGGCTTCCGTGCTTGTGCGGAGATGCGAGATGGGGGATCCAGCAAAATCGGTTGGTTGGTGGCCGGGCAGTGGATTGAGACAGTTCTCATCGGTT